AGAGTGAAAATGAAAATTTTAATGTGTACCAAACAGAGGCTAAATGCAATTTATATCCTACTATTTACTAATTGTTTTCTCCTTCAATTACAAATGGCCATTCGCTGCTTTTAAAGAGGGAAAAGCAGATCAAGTAAAGGATTTGTTTTCCCAACAAGTTGACGATTTCCTGTCTCTATTTTTGTTTAATCTTTAATTCACAATTAAATTTGTGTAGCCCCTTGATCCTCTAATTGCTGCATATGAAGGGCATGTTTAGTAAGTACTATTAAACTACAGTATAATTGTGACGACCCGAATCCACTATTCGAGTGTCACTAAATAAAATTCGATATTTTTTTTTGTAGGGACTTAAATAGTAATAAGAAATAGTTTTACTAAAAATAAAAAAGCGGTTTTCACTTCAATAATTAATTGTGAAATTTTAATATTAAAGAATAATGCATTGATGTAAACATAGTTGAAATAATGTCTTGGTATAGCCAAACAAAAAAAAATGAAACTTAAAAGTTGTGTTTTAAACATAATATAATTCATTAATCCTAGCTCGTTGCCATCGCCATTGACTGTCTCAAATCATCAATTGCTTGAAAGGGAAAATATCATGGAGATTTATAAAATTTCCATAAGTACGCCATGAATTATTATCGTGTATAACTTAAAGGAACATAATAATCATAATCAACATAATGGAGACACAAAAATTTTACCGATCATAGGCGGAAGAATTCTTACGTATAGCTACTAAACTCCGGTCCCCCTCACATAATCATAATCATATTATATCATATGGGATCCACAATAATTTTCTTGAAATTCATAACATAATTTTCACGCGTTTTCTATAACGTGAATTATATCGCAAGTTGTACGGTGTCAAGTTTTGTAATATAGTGATGAAATGGAAAATGTCGAACCCACAAGTATTGATACTTGATTTCTACCGAGTATTATAATTGCTTAGTTTCCACTTTATTTAGACAATCAAAATTGAATCAATGTTGTAATTTAGAAAGACTTAAATTGGTAAGTCAACGGAAACAAACTTTAACGAAGTTATCAAATTAAGAAAGTCTAGGGAATGATTTCATCATACTATTGACTATGCTTTTCAACCTACATTTCGTTAACTCGGTCATATTTTTCTTAATTTATAGGCAAGAACGGTAATATAATTTTATCCCCTCTCTCGAGTGTGGAATATAACTTATTTCTATAATTTAAGTCCAATATCTCTATTCCGAAATAAATGTATAGAAATTTAAATGTACTTGGTTCTTGATTCAAACAAGCCTCAAATATTTGTAATTTCTTTCGAAATCTATAGAACATAGGTTATATTGTTCTTTGATCATGCTTAAATTTCTCTCTCTCGAGTACCGAAATTAATGCAACAATTCATTCAACTACTGGCCAATTAATTGAATGCATTAAACACAAATAAATTAACAGAAAAAATCTAAAAGAGCTAAATATATAGGAATAAAAAATGTCTCAAGTTGATTACATCAAACCATAGATCTAAATGTTTAGTTCATAATGAAGAAAATTGACATAATTGAATTAAATATGAATAACATGGATAAGAAGAAATGATTTAGAAAAGCTATTCGTTGTCGCTTGATTTCTTCTTCCAATTGTCAATCTCCTCCTTTTTCAATTGATTTCTTTCCGGTTTTGTCTTCAATCTTCTTGCCTTCCTCTAGCCGTCAACAACCGCCTTTAGGTCTTCAAAAAATGTGTATTTTTGTTTCCCCGCGGTTGCAAGGCAAATTTGATGTGGGTTGAGCCGAAAATCTTTTAAAAATTCTGTTTTGTTCTCTTACTCGGAAGGCGGCGCCTTGGCGCCAGTGATTCTGTTGGCTCTCTTTACGGTTGGCGCCATGTTTTGCATTTTTTCTGTATTTTTGGGCGCCATGGCTCCCAAATGTGGCGTCTAGGCGCCCAACATTCTGCCTCGTCCTTTGTTGTTCTTCTATACTTATTTTGTTAATCTTTTGGTCTTCTCTCTGCTTCATTCTTCTCTTCTCTCATCTCTATGTCACACCTCCTTTCATAATCATTATCATAGCTCCATTTCAAGCTCCAAACCATTCCGTTTTCATCCAATTTGTCAAACTATAAAATAACAAGAACACACATCAAAACGCTAAAAAATGCTCAAGAATAAACTAAAAACTACGATTTAAAG